AGGCCGCCCCCTGGCTCGAGCCGCGTCCTCCTCGAGCTGCGGAAGCGCCGCCGCCTCGGCCCACCGCTCAGCACCTATGCCCTCGATGAGCAAGCTCACCGCCCTCGCCTGCACCGTGGCTGGTGCCATTGGCGGCGCCGCCTTCGTGCAGCCCGGCGCCGTCCGTGCCCCCGCGCAGCCCCGGGCGCCGGCGGCCGGCCTGCGGCGCTGGCAGCAGCTGCCCTCGGAGGCGGAGGCGCAGGCGGCCGCGGAGGCCTTCCCCGCGAAGGGCTTCCTGGCGGGCCTGGCGCTCGGCCTCGGCGTCGCTCTGGCGGGCGCGCAGCACGCGCAGGCCGCGGACGCGCCGGCCGCCGACGCGCCCGCGCCCCCGCCCGAGCCCGTCGTCACGGACGTACGCGATCTGCAGTACAAGGGCGATAAGGATCAGAGCCCCGAATCATCAGGGCATAACTCGGGTCAGGGTTAACTCGGGTTCGCTTTTCGGGAATCCGAACCCGAGTTACCCCGGACCCGAGTCACCCCGGATAACTCGGTCGCCCACAAGGACTTCGAGGCGAAGAAGGCGGCGATCGCGAAGGCCGCGAACAAGGTGGACAGCGGCATCGGGCTGCAGACCTGGAAGTGGGGCCACGACTATGACAAGAAGTACACGACGTCCTCGACCGGAGCCGGCACCTTCCTGCGCTACAACATGGGCAATTACCAGATCATCCCCAGCTACCGGGGCTCGGCGGCCGACGACGGCCCGGGGGCCCCCCAACGGTGTGGTGACCACACCGTGTGGTGAGTCGGTGGGGATTCGGGGTCACGGTTTTGGGACTTGAGTCCCTCTCCGAGGATGTCCCGGGCGACAGGGGCCTCCAGGGTCCCAACACCGTGCGGTGACGGACCGTGCGGTGAGGTCTTGGGGGACTTCGAGGCCACCGCACGGTCCGTCACCGCACCGTTCCGGGACTCCCAAGGCACGTACCTGATCGACCCGATCCAGATCAAGAGGGCCGCGGCCCAGCGCGCAGAGGACGAGAGGATCAGGAAGGAGGTGGCCCCGATCTGGCTGAAGGTCAAGGGCAACGATAGGGGGGGGATACGCACAGGGGGGGATGCATCGACCCCCAATCGCCCACTGATCGCCGATATGGGGCCCGATAGCCCCAGCCTGCACAGGCAGGTGTGGATTCGCTCTCGGGGGCCCATCGCCGATCTGTCGGCGATGCGCATCGCCGCCTCTAGGTCGCTGCACCTCCCCCTGTGCCAGTCCCCCCCCCTATCCCTATCGCTGCCCCTCAGCAGGACGGCGGGGCCACCGGCAACGTCTGGCCCAGCCAGGGCATGTACAAGCCGCGCACCTACACCTCGGCGTACCAGCCCGTGAGGCAGAAGTGAGCCCGCCCTCGGGGCAGGCCGGGCGGGAGCCCCGCGCGCGCTCCCGCCCCCGCGCAGGGTTTTTTAGACGGCTCGGTGCTCGCCGCGGCCCCGTGCGCGGCAGGCGGCCCTCGGAGGCGCGCGCCGACCGCCGCGCGGCACAGCGCGCGTGCCTCCTCCGCCCGAGGAGGGGCGAGGCGGAGGCTGAAGGCGCTGGGCCCTGCCTGCCGCTTCGGGATCGCTCGGGGCGCTCAGGCCAGCCCGGGAGCGCGCAGCAGGACGCACAGGGGACGTCGAGTGCCGAGCACGACAAGACCTGCCCTCCTCCTCCTCCTCCTCCTCCTCCTCCTCTTCCGCTTCCTCCTGCAAGGCAAGGCTCCAGCGGTGCAGCACGACCGAGTTCGCTCAGACAGGAGGCGACGGAAGGAACGACGAACGAGGGGCGGTTCCAGGCATGTTCGGAAGAAGAATGGCCACACCGAGTGACACGGCCAAGGAGACCTCACTCTTCGATGTTTCGGGGCGTGAGACTGGCCACTTCAGTTGTCCAGAAGGATGGAATGACCGCTGCTGTCCCGAAGTGCGAGTGTCTCGATGACTGTCTCGAGAGCCCCGTTTCACTCCTAGATTCAAGTGGTTAGCTAATGCTGGCAGCAGTAGTTGTAGTTCCAGTTGCAGTTGTAGCAGCAGAAGCAGCAGCAACAGCAGCGGCAGCGGCAGCGGCAGCGGCAGCAGCAGCAGCAGCAGCAGCAGCAGCAGCAGCAGCAGTAGTAGTAGTAGTAGTAGTAGTAGTAGTAGTAGTAGTAGTAGTAGTAGTAGTAGTAGTAGTAGTAGTAGTAGTAGTAGTAGTAGTAGTAGTAGTAGTAGTAGTAGTAGTAGTAGTAGTAGTAGTAGTAGTAGTAGTAGTAGTAGTAGTAGTAGTAGTAGTAGTAGTAGTAGTAGTAGTAGTAGTAGTAGTAGTAGTAGTAGTAGTAGTAGTAGTAGTAGTAGTAGTAGTAGTAGTAGTAGTAGTAGTAGTAGTAGTAGTAGTAGTAGTAGTAGTAGTAGTAGTAGTAGTAGTAGTAGTAGCAGTAGTAGTAGTAGTAGTAGTAGTAGTAGTAGTAGTAGTAGTAGTAGTAGTCGTAGTAGTGTAGTAGTA